CGGGTTTGAGCAGTCTTGTGATCTCTTTTAATAGTCTGCTGAAAGAGATTTGCTTCCCTGCAAAAATATGTTCCATGCTGTTTGCCTTACTATTAAGGAGGACGTAACTTAAACACTAGGCAAAACAGCTTTGTGAAGGCATCAGTGGCCACGTCTGCAAACCGGTATCCCTATTGAACCAAGGTTGTTAAGAACAGCAATATGTACCCTTGAGTTTCTTTATGACAGATATGGACTTCCCTGAAATCGAAAGGGGTGCGGCTTTAACTTAAATTCGTTTTGGTGATTCGTGTTATGGAAATATGTCATGCTATATAGTCTATATATTTATAAATTTATAAATTAATACATACATATCTATTTTATGTATAATTTGCATACATATGTTAAGAGGGGGTGGGGTGGGGGGGGGTCTGGCCACTTTTTTAATTACCTCTACACTCCCATATTCACTCATTAACGGTATTATTTAACCACTCTGTCCTCTAATCCCGTAGCTATAATCACTAATTCACCCACTCGCTCTAAATCTCTTTACACTAATTAATTCCGTATTTACTCTTTCACATATCTTTCTGAGTCATTTCCTCCAAGTAAGATTTATTACCCAAAATATTATGTGATAGTGCACTTACCTACCTGAAACCTGAAATACGGATTCCGTCATTCCCTTCAACACAGAGGTTCCCACACATGAAAAAGACCCTTCCCACTCGCTCTAATATTGACACACCTATGAAAAAAAGTGTAGTTTTTTTTAAAAACGCGTCTACTTTCCATGTTTTACATACACTTGAATACAGCATTCGTGCTTCTTAGCAAATTAAGGGAAGACCTGCATGCTTTTTCAAAATCCGTTATGCATAGACTAAGAAGCACGAATGCTAGATTCTTTATTCGGTTTGTCATGATGCTGCATTTACAGCAATTCGTGCTCAATGTTTATTGCTGTCTTAATTTTCCCGAACAGTACTAATCAGAGACGGCTATTCATCACGGGCCATAGTCTGGGTAGCACTGCAATTCGCACATTAGAAGTCCTGACTAACCTTTTGTAAAATCCGATCCCACAATAAAAGAAGAAGAGACTGCTATGACTTTTATGTTTCCGGTTGCTTAAAACGGTTTGAAGGAACCGTGTTGATGGGGGCCAAGTAGAAAGATTGGATGCTGATAAACGTCTACCTTTCCAAAGTTCTCTCATTTTGCTATCCCCTCTCTTTGGAATTAATTTGTATTTGTATAATTGCATTCAGCCACAGGCACACTTTGGACCATTCAGCCTATTAGGACTAAACCTAAAACTAAATTAGATACTAAACTTTTACAGAAAAACAGTCTCTCGACTAAATTATACCTTAACGACATGAAACGTAAGTCTTGTGAGGGAGGGGCAAAGAGAAGAAGCACAATGTTACACGTGTCAGTTTGTTCCAGTTCAAGCCTATGTACCCATCTACGTCAAGCCTCTCCAATACTCGAGGAAAAAATAGAAAGAAATATCGGCCAAATCCTAAGCACGTGCGGAGACCTAAAACTCTGCTAGAGCCCGAAGGACCTGCTACGAATAGCAGCCTTGCCACAAGAGGCTCGGGTGTCCATTAAAACAAAATGTCAAGAAATGTTTAAAAAGAAATAGTCGCTATTGTCTTAGAATACTAAATTTCAGCTTTTCTTGATAGACAGCTTCACAACGAAGTATTGAGCCAAAAGAGAGAATGAAATACACTTGATACTGTTCATCGTTCTGACTGACTGCGTCTGTTTCTTCCTTTCCAGAATGGCTGATTTCTGAGTAAGCTCAAGGTGTATGTTCCCTTGTGAATATTCAAAGATGATTTTGCTAAAAATATCTGCATGTAAAGTGATAAGTCTACTTAGTATTAATTGCGTAATGTACTCATCCTGTTGTTTCTTGTCTCTACTCATCTCATCTACTGTCTCATGAAACATGCAAATGCGTTCTATTGTTGTAATTTGACAAGTGAATAACCGCGATACATCCTTACCAATTTGAACATCTTTTACTTACCTTTAGACACTATCACTACAAAAACAGAAAACTTACTTTGGACATTACATTTTTTGTAAAGCTAGAACGTGTTTGCGGCAAGATCTATGCTTTCACTGCTCTCGATTTTGGCTTTCATCGTTTGTCTGAACTTAACGTACGTCACCCTGTTATAGAAATTTAAGCTGAACTGAATGTGATAGCTTCATGTGGCTACCATCTTGGTTTGCGTTTCTCTCTCTCTCTCTCTCTCTCTCTCTCTCTCTCTCTCTCTCTCTCTCTCTCTCTCTCTCTCTCTCTCTCTCTCTCTCTCTCTCTCTCTCTCTCTCTCTCTCTCAGAGAAAGCACCGGACTTCCATGGAGTTAAGAACCGCACCGGACTTCCATGGAGTTAAGAACCGAACTTTGGCATTAAAAGACACATCTTCTTTGTCACTAACGAACAAAACATTAGGAAAATCTAATAGCTTCCCTGACGTCATACGCCCTCGTCTTATAGGTCGGCTTTAAAGTCCCACAGACATGACAAGAATATTGTGACAGCGACATGAAACTGATGATTATCAAATTTATTGGACTCTTGCTCGTTTCTCGAGATGTTTTAGCCATTTCCAGGGCATTTCTGGGAGATGTGTAGGCCCGCCTTTGCTTTACGCATCTATATTTGAACCACACTGGGATTTGAAATTTAAAAAATATATGTTTATAGATGCACACACACTATTGCACGAGGACTTTAAAAAAAAAAGAAACTTTTTTGCAATGTAGCTAGCACAGTTTTGTTCGTTTTTTAAAATTATTTTTTGCATCGGTGTGTATTTTCTATTGTTATACTTGTCTCAGTTTTTAGCCATTGTAGGCGTGTTTTATATTATTTGTACATATTTGTTGTTGGTGTGGTGTGGTCATGTAATGTAGTGTGTTGTGGTGTGGTGTGGTGTGAGGGTGTGTGTGTGTGTCGTGTGTGTGTGTGTGTGTGTGTGTGTGTGTGTGTGTGTGCGCGCGTGTGTGTGTGTTGTTGTTGTGTTGTTGTGGATTGTTGTTGTTGTTACACGTATTAAGTCATACATTTTCTTATTTCTTTCAAATTTATTAAATGCCCTCTGGGTATTCTGGGGTCCTACATGTTTGTCTGAGCATCGGGCTTTCGGCCAACCTTTTAATCAGCAGTAGCTATCAGACAGCTATCTTCTTTTCTTTCACGTTTATAAATAAATGTTTTCTCAAACTACATTATTATATTTTTTAAGGCGGGTTACATGGTACAGTAATTTGAGAAAAAAAAAAACTAAAAGGAAAAACATCAGGATGAGGTGACATTCAGAAGTTGTTGACAGGAACTTTACTTTACATTTAAAAATTGAGTGTGTATGTGTGTGTGTGTGTGTGTGTGTGTTTGTGTGTGTGTATGTGTGTGTGTGTATGTGTGTGTGTGTGTGTGTGTGTGTGTGTGTGTGTGTGTGTTATATAGGGTCTGATCATCTCGTCTATGTGTAATTGGCCGTTTCGTCATCTCTTGACTCAATATGTAGAGTAGACGGATATAAGTTGAGAATAACATAAAAGATAGTGAAGCAAACGATATGAATTTATGTTGGCTTAAGAAAGGTTATATTTGCCAACTACAATAACTAGTTCTTGGGGTCAATCTTAAGGGCTACGTCAAAAAGGCCACTAGTATTTTATATGCGCGGGCAATTGTTATAGGAACCATTTGTACAAGTTGATTCAGTTTAAGCAAAACCATGCCGACGCACCATTTATACAGCCTTTTATTAGCCGCGTTTTCTCACCGGTTAAAACTGTTACACATAATATGTTAAAACAAGTGTTTCATTATACTTTTTTTATTTTGTTCGTTTAAGAAACCATATTTTTATGTTGGGAGGGGAAAGGGATATCAGATAAGTGCAAATCTGAGCCCCCCCCCCTCCCCCCCCCCACCCTTTACATAAAAAGGGTTTATAAAAACCTTTTTCAGAAATTCAAATTATATTTTTTTACATGATATATTGTCTCGCCCAAAATGTGGTGGGTTTGATAAGCATGATTATCTGGAAACATTTTTTTCAAATCGAGAAGGGCCTCATAGTTTTATCAAACTTTAGGCAAATAATGATGAATAAAAAGTCCAGGAAAGTATAAGAGGTGAAAAAAAAAATTATGAGCAGTGAATAATTTGTCATAGATGTCGACTGTTTTGGTCGCTCGTAGCAAAAATGCACGAGAAAGAAAACCTAAAAATCTTTGTCTATATCGATTTTACCCTTTTATTTATAGAATGATTTAAGCCCTTATCTAAGCAATTATGATCGTCTAGGAAACAGGCTGTTCTGATCCTGCCTGTCTGACACAACTCCGAGTGGGAACTTCTTCCCTACGCGGGAATTGTACGGACGTCCTTTGCGTGCGGTAGCGTAGAGCGCAATTGTGACATTGCAGGCTCCGATTATCTATTTCACCCACGACAGAAACAGTAAGGATGAGATGAACATCTTGGGATGTTTGATAGCGAGGTAAGATTTAGAACATGTAATGGTAATCATAAACTCGCAATCAACTTAAGTCGTTTGTTAACTTATTATTTCCTATCGCGTATTTAAAAAGGAAAACTCAACTTGCAAATTCGAGAAGATGTGACATTTTAGAGATAAAGGAATAATGAGTGTTAATCTATATGACTCTTTAAAAAAGAAATCCTAATTCGAAATTTTCGTTAGTTAGTTTGTTTTCTATTCAGCTATCGTGCAAAGTTAACGACGTCGAAGTTCAAAAGTGCTGAAAGAATTATAAACCATTACAAACATGAAGTAAGTAGGAACAAGTATCATTCTTTAAAAAGCAGAGAAAAAAATATGTCCGTTCACGTAACATTGAAAACAAAACTGATATTTCGGAGAAAAAAAAATGAATAAAACTTGTGTTAGGGAGACATATATTTGAAACAGATAAAACACGTTTTATAAATAAAAAGTAAGTCAGCCCCTACCTTGTGAGTGGGCTAAGGCAACCGTCGTTAAAAGGACAAAGAGGAGAAGATATGGGGTACAAGAAGTGGATCTCCTTTGCTTGGTCATAGTGCAGGTCTGAACTAGCCTCTCTTGGTTTCCTGGTCAAGGATCTTTTTGAGCACTTTCCTACGACTCTCCAGCTCCGCGGGACGCTGCTGCTAACTCTGAGTGGGATCTGAACCGGATCTGCTGCTTTAGGAGGGCGGAGTAGGCGGCTTTGGCTGCTTCTTTTTATGATAATACGCGTGGTGCATTCCGTGAATCGTGTACCGTGTACCCGCCACTCTCTCGCTTTCCCTCTGGCTGACGCCACCCCACGGGTTTTGCATCATCGGGCCTCGCTCTCGCTTGTGATGACGCCACGATCCTCGACTTTCGACGCCTCTTGACGTAGGCTTGTTTGGCCTTGCTGCGTGGTGAGAGTGCTATAGGTGCTGTCGATATTATGAGGCGGGTGTTGAAGTGCTGCTCCAGAAAACAAAACACCTTTACATTAATTCTAATTTTAAAACCATCACTATTATCTTCTTATTTTTATTTCTCTCGCCCAATCCTCCCTTAGTTTTTATCTATCTATCTATCTATCTATCTATCTATCTATCTATCTATCTATCTATCTATCTATCTATCTATCTATCTATCCATGGATAACGGTTAGGCACTTTGTTGTCACATGCAGGAGACCCGATTTCGATTCCCGAGTGGGGAGAATTTTTTCTTTATCGAGTGTCTCGGTTTTTCTGCTGGGGTATCGTATTCTTTTAAAACCCTGTTGGCTCAGATAGGCAGGATCGGAAAGCTGCCCCTTAAAATGATCTAAATCGTGCCGATGGGGTGTAAAGAGCACAAACATTAACAAATTAACATATTATATTTTCTTCTCATTTCTTTCTACAGGCAAAAAGCTGGGTCGTTGGATCGTATCATTTTATTGGTTGTGCCGTACGACCGAAACAGGCAAAAACCAAGCTGAAAACTTGAATGACCACTGATTGATATTGTTCATCGTCGACTAACCTATAAATAGTCCCTCCCCTAAATAAACAGTAAACCAACAAACAATCAATCAAACAAACAAACAAACAATCACATACACATATGTATGAACACAACACGTATTCTTTCATTCACTCATGCGCAAAAAAAGAATTCGATTTCTGCTCCTCTCCCCTCGCTCATTCTCTCTCTCTCTCTCTCTCTCTCTCTCTCTCTCTCTCTCTCTCTCTCTCTCTCTCTCTCTCTCTCTCTCTCTGTATCCCCATCTCTTTCTCTCTCTCTGTATCCCCCTCTCTTTCTCTCTCCCTCCCTCCCCCCCTCTCTCTCTCTCTCTCTCCATCTCTCTCCCTCTCTCTCCCTCCCTCGCCCCTCTCTCTACCTCTCTCTCTCTCCCTTCCCCCCCTCTCTCTCTCTCTCCCTCCCCCCCCCCCTTTCCCCCTCTCTCTCTTTCGTCCCAACTCTCACCCCTGCCTCCGCTGAGGTCCCTGCTCGGTCTACAAATAAAATATTATGCAATTGTTTCTATTCAGCACCTCTCCTCCAGTTCACCCACGTCTTGCTAGCCTGTCTATCTCTTGATCAGAATATCACCACACAAATACTCTTTTGTCGAACTGTAGGATCATGTTCGGCCTTTTTCGAGTGATTCTTTTCCTTGTGCACGATAGATAGCCCATAGTTAGAAATGGGCGCTCGACAAAGCGAGCTTTAATTAAGGTTGTTATTGCGTTGGTCCATCTCGACAATAATATTATATTATTTACTTCATGAACAACAAAGGAAGAAAAAAACCAATCATTGATTCATTAGGCTAATTATAACTAAAAATAATGTTTGCTTTAGTTGTCTATTCCGTGATCCATTGTTGAAATGTTCAAACTAATTATCAATGCACTATAGGGGCTTTATTTTTGTTTTTTCTTAAATGGTATGTGGCATTCGATTGAAAATGGTCGTATTGAAATCTATGAAGTTTGTTATTGTTAGTGATAGAAAGCTACAAATCTCTCTCTCTCTCTCTCTCTCTCTCTCTCTCTCTCTCTCTCTCTCTCTCTCCTGTCTTCTTTCTCTTCGTAACTTTTCTAATACGAGACAAAACAGTCCTCTGTATTTTTTAGTACCGTTCTCCAAAAATCCAGACGAGTGTTCCTGCTACTTGGCAATAACTGTCATCTTTAGACCAATTTCAATAGGGCATATTACATTTGTCTGTAAGAACAAAATTAACCTACATGTTCGAAAAATATAAAATTTCTAAATTTTCAACCAAAATTGTGAGAAACGCAAAACTTTGCAACTTCTCTAGTATCAACCAAACTGTTTTATTTCAAATAATCACTCTTTGTACATTGAAGAACACATTTATACAAAAACTATAGTGTCAAACAAACTCAGGACTCAGGAAGGTGATGGTTATTCAAATCCCCATGTGTTTTCCACTTTTCTCCATATAAGCCCCAATACGTCACTCAAAATTCTAAACAACCCCGTGGCATGTTTCTGGGTCTGTTCTTTGAACGTGCTAATCAACACTGAGTCTTAAATGTTCGATCGTTTGTGGTTTACCTCTGCAGATTTTGTCCGTCCAAAGATCCCAAGGGTAATTACTGAAAGGGTTCTAAGTTTAAGAGATGTGACAACCTGCCGTTTTGTATTTTTTGTTTGTTTTAAAAGCCTTTTTTAAGCCACACAAGGACCAGTCTTGACGTTTGGGGTGTGGTCTCTATTGCATAACACTTTCTCCTCCCCAAATTTCTCCAACACTTTCTCAGTACGATGAGATTAATTTATCTGTTGTAACTTTCGTGGTTTTGTTATTTTTACCATGAAACCGGAACGGGTCGATCACGCCCCTGTAGCGGAACGCTATTGAGAGTAATTGTGCATTTTATCCTATTATGGTTGAAATTGTAAAACTTGAAATGGTTCAGAGGCGTAGATGAATTTTTATCATATTTAAAAGCTTGAATTTTTCAAGGTTTAATTCTGTTTATCCGAAGTTGGGTCCTTTAAAAAATTTTTTTTTTAGACATCCTGTTATAAAGGATACCGGGGGTGTTTCCCTTGAACTTGCTTTCAGTACAGCACGGCACTGGAGTTCGATTTGAACTAAAAAGAAAACGAGATAACTATTATTTTATTCTATGTGTATAATATTTAGCAGAACACCAGAAAACAAACATGACTATGAGGGATTCAAATCGTAAACTCAAAACGTTGACGAAAAATATAACTGGCAAAACGCGAAATCGAAAGGGTGATGAAAACAGTCGGTAAAACAGTATGTGTCCATGTATTTGCAAAACCTGTTCAAACAATCTGGTACACTGATGCCAGAATCTTCGTGTGTCTCGGCATTCTTTTTCTGTTTTTCCCCCTGAAAAAAAGGCAGTTTAATTTTATGGAGCATTGCACAACAAGTCTAGACGAATGTCTGCATACATTGATTAGCCACTATTTCACTCACATTGTTTATGACTTCTATAAAGACTTTCCGAAAAGATAGACAGATAGATAGATAGATATATAGATAGATAGATAGATAGATAGATAGATAGATAGATAGATAGATAGATAGATAGATAGATAGATAGATAGATAGATAGATAGATAGATAGAAAAATAGATAGATAAATAGATAGATAAATAGATAGATAAATAGATAGATAGATAGATAAATAGATAGATAGATAGATAAATAGATAGATAGAGAGATAGATAGATAAATAGATGGTAAAACAAATCATATACTGAAAGATAGGTCTATTGACATGCTGGAACAAAAATGAAGACACTTTGTACAGTGTGAGTACTGTGAGTGCCTATTTAGATTGGACACTATATTGGGCGTATATTGAACTGACTTCCAACACATTGAGCTGGTTCAATTCATCCCCCCCTCCCCTCCCCTCCCCTCGCCGTCCACGTTTCCCCCTTGCCTCTTACTCACGCCCCCTGCTAACACACACAGACACACAAATATTACCCCCCAAAAAAACCCATACACACACACACACACACGCACACACACACACACACACATACACACACACAGACTTCTAACCCCAACGATCCAACTTAATAACATATTACTGTTATGGCTCTGATCCCTTTTCTTCTGGGCTTTTATCGAGCCTTTTGCACTCCTACTCAAAATATAAAAGTACAGACCTCATAGCTTCTTCCCGACCCAAACCTCACCCGGACCATTTCCCCACAATTTTTCAATCCACGACTAAAGTCACTAGAAAAAAAAATACAATAAGCACAAAAATCCTCGACAAATTCCTACTACAAAGGTCACGACATTTCGTATGGATGACGTGAGACTAGTCCAAGGAGTAGGTCTGTAGCTCTGTTCCCGTAATAAATAAGAAACAGTCTAGGGAAGTGGATAAAGTAGCGAGAACAAAATTATCCCCGATGACTGACTATTCGTCGACTCTGAAACGAGATGCATGGCTTCTAATCTGCTTTGCTTAATGGCGTTTAGTGTGAAATGGCCTCAACGTTGTTAGCGACTCAGGGGGAAAGCCGCAGAGATAGTCGTTCAGTCAAAGGACTGGCATAGGACTGTTGGGTGCCATTAAAATGTTTGAAACGGCGGAATAAAACTTGTAATTCATTTTGCCCATAGAAACAAGAAAAAAACAAAGTAGCTTACAACCTGTGTTTCGTTTTTTTATGATTATTATTCATCATAATAGCATTCCTGATCTGATTAATACTTTTGTGCAGAGATCTGCTTTTTTTTGTTCCTTTCTCAGTGTACATTAACCCTTTTTCTGCTGAAGTTCCATTTATTTTTAAATTTTTTTACATATAATAGACACAACATTTGATAAGTATCAACAGTGTGTTTCATTTTGAAAAATAAAATAATTGTACCCAAAATTGTGCATCAAAATTCGTTCTTTAAAAAAAGACGCAAGGAGGAAAGGACATTAAGGACTAACTGAATACATGTCAATTGAAAGCATTACTCAACAATGACATAGAACAGACCGTGGAGCAATTTGAAATGAAGCGTTTCTATTATTCTCGAAGACATTTTTTTGGGATAAATCAATTATGTTTAGATCGCTATTGTGAACTTGTCTTGTGCGTTTGTGTGAGTGCACCTTTCAGTCTAACTTTTGTAACGTCTACTGCCATTGTTAACGGATGAATAAAGATTGTCATTGTCATTGTCGAAATGTAAGGTATGCCATGAAAAATCCAGCATAAAACTAAAACAAAAAGAACAATATTTTAAAACATAAAAAAGCGTGATATCAGATCAGTCATAAGACTCAACGTTGGGGTTTAAAAA